TCTTCCCTGTAAATTTGGACCTCTGTAAAACCAAACGAGGTGTGAGGAAAACGTTTGTTGTTTTAGAAAGTCTCCACTCAGTTTAAATGCTCTCTAATGCCATTAATAAGCAGAGAAGCAAGAGGTGCTGTGCACAGGACTTGAGGGCGGTGTTGGGTTCCACGCGCTGTCCAGACTTCTGCAGTATTTAAGCTGGAGTTTGTAAACAGCCCGGCTTGTCCATCCGCATATACCAGTGTGATTCCTCAGGGAGATACCTATTGCATAATAACGTGCGTTTTTCTGATTTAGCTTATAGTGCCCCCAAACCGACAGGAGATCATATGGTTTTGGAAGCAGCTCGTGCTAAACTGGAAAAAACATTATTTCAGAATAAGCATGCAGAGGAGAATGTAGCAGTAAGTCCTGCCAGTAACCAATGTAATTTCCTATAGCAGGAAATTCTATGAGCATTTTATGCCTGTATAGTTAAAGTAATATGAAAATATTTCCTGAATATTTTAGGAAATATAGTCTTAATATTTCCTACCCTGTTCCTGTTTGTTTAAATGAGGTTCATATTTCCTCATTTCTGCACAAAGGTGTTGAGAGTAGATTTGGTAGTGTTAGTGGGCCAGGATGAGCATCCGGGAATGCCTAACCTGCCATGAAGGAAATGTGAGCCTTGTCATGCAGGGTGCCTTTGGCACCTGCGTTTCCCTTGTTTCTGTGTAGTGGGGATCTCACTAATCCTGAAAGAGAAAAAATCAACAGAAATAGGTATAGTTAAGGATGTAAAAGATGCAGTTCGTTTTGCCTTCCGTCTCCTGTTCCTGTAGCGTGATCGAGCAGGAGAGTGAAGACGGTGGTGCTTTTTCGACATTCACATGGTGCTGCTGCAGTAAAATGAGTCATCGTTCCTCTGCCACCACACAGCAGCTAGTGTGCGTTTTTGGCAAGAACAAGCAAAAGTTTGCAGGGCACAGTTCTTTCTAATCAACTGCTCTTAATTCCTTTTGTGTTCAAAAAACAAAGTGAAACAGCCTCTCTCTAAAAGGCTATTAAACCCGCTAATGATTGATGAGAGTGCATGCAAACCAGAATGTAATTTTTGATGAAGTCAGCTTCCCTCCCTGCTGTTTTGTACGTCTTAAACATTTTGCAATCATTCATGGTAAGTATTTCTAACTGAATATAATGGAAGAGAAATTTCATAAAGAAATGGAATATTTTTACAGTAATTAGGAAGATGATACCTTATTGCTTTAAGTTCAGTAATTAGGTAAAACACCAAAGAGATTCTGTAACCTCTTTTCTCATCATGCTGGATCATTTCTTGTTGAGATGAATACAATATAGGATGGACCCATAACATCAGCATGCCGTGCCGTGCCTCCTACAGAGAAGGTTCTGTAAACTATGCAATATAAAAAAAAAAAAAGGTGAGGTGAAGCAGAAAGAAGACTATTGACTAAACATTTTGTAAAGAATACATTTAACAAATGTGTTTGAAGGCCAAAGAGGGAAAGAAAAGGTTCTCCAAAACCAGCTTATAATGTCTTGTTCATTGTTCTCTTGTCCTCCCACGCTCAGAAATAGTACGATCTCAGTGAAAGAGAGCGGTGGTGCTCCCATTTCTGAAGGAAGACTCCTTCCTTCTGGAGCATCTTTCTTTTATAAGATTTGCCTACAATACCTTTCAGATAAGATAATCACTCCACCTTTTAAATTTTCAACTCTGGTTTATTTCTTAGGAAGATACTAATTGCAAAGGCAGGCAACTAGGTAGACTATTGTAAAGATATTTTTCTGCCTGTCTTGTAATGTAATAGCTTTTAAGATCTAAATGGTGTTTTTCAGCACCATTGGGATTATCCATTACCCAGCAGTTACTGGTGTAAGAATCCTGCAGATCGTTTTGCAAAGTTCCTAACGTCTATTTTGGATATAGCATGGTATATAAATACTGTTTATGTTAAAAGAAATAGGATCAAGTACGACAGTTACAGATGTGTGATAATTACATTGCATTTGTTTTGGGTGAGTATTTGCAGGCATACATTGTATGGTAATGCACAGAACAGTCAGTGAAACCAGCATTTTAGAGATAGGTATATTTTTTTATTCTCTTCGGTATGTTTTTTAATTTAATTCTAAATATTTGTACAGATTTTATACAGATAAATGCACTATTTATGTGTTTCCAAAATATACTGATAATCTACCTGTCCTCTTGCCTGAAAGTAAATTTAGAATTGACACCTGGAACTGAGAAATGGGGAGAAAGTAGTAATTTTTAAATACTATTTTGAACCTGAAATCCTTTGCAGGGTCATGTTATTTGCTTCCTTAATAGTTGCCTTTGCTGGGTTTGTGCGTGTGCTGGGGTTTGTGTCTGTGTGTGTGTTTGGTATGCACACAGGAGAGGCTGACAGCAGTGAAATTGTCTAAAATACCGGCAAGAGTCTTTGCATGAATATAGAGCTTCAGATTACTTCTTACTCGTTTGCTTTATGTGTGCAGTTATATTGCTCAGGTTTGTATTTCATCAAACACTGTATTCAGCATCCTACAAGAAATTAAGTTATCTGGCATCCCCGTGTACAGGCAGAAGACATTTAGAATTGAGATAAGTAAATACTACTGTAGTGAAAAACTGAGCTGATAGAATTTGTTTATTTTCTTCCAATAAAAGTTGTTCTTTAGCCTTTAAAAAATAAATTACTAGCTTTTGACCCTTTCTATAGAACACTGATTTTGCTGTAACAGCAAGAAAATTATTTTTCGCATTTTACAAATACAAAAGTTGCTTCCTCGTGAAAGGCTGTAGCCTGGGAATACTGAATGCATTTCTGTGATTCTCTGATGGTTTCTCAGTATCTTAGTCTTTGCTGATTGATCTCTACACAATATTCTATGTGTGCTTATTAGCAGAGAGCGAGGAAGAGGATGAGAATGAAATGGAAGTTGAAGATCAAGGTAGTAAAGAAGCTGAAAAGCCAAACGTCATTAATTTTGATACCAGTTTGCCAACATCACATGTGGTATGTTCTTCATATATCGTCCATTAAATACATCTTGAAGAGGTTTTGATTGTTTTTGTGTAATTCTATTGTAATATCCTTAAGCCAAAGACCTGATTTTATTTTATCCTTGTAAATCACCAAAACCTCTTATGCTACTGTCATTTCCTTACTTATTGTTTTCAGTATTTAGGTTCTGATATGGAAGAGTTTCATGGAAGAACGGTGCATGATGATGACAGCTGTCAGGTGATTCCAGTGTTGCCCCACGTGATGGTGATGTTGATTCCTGGACAGACGTTACCTCTTCAGCTTTTTCGCCCTCAAGAGGTTAGCATGGTGCGGAATTTAATTCAGAAAGACAGAACATTTGCTGTTCTTGCATACAGGTAAAATACACGAGTGGGTTTACTGATGGTATGCAGCATGTATTTTTAGCACAATTTCTTTGGATACTAAGTCAAAAGCAGATGGTTGCATCAGTTCTGTGGTGAATAACATAAGTTGTGGTTTGAAATAGTTTGACAAAAATTGTCTTCCAACACCTAATAAAAAGGTTTTCATGTCATGTTGGGTAGCTGCATGACAGTATCACATGTTTGTATAGAGAAACAGTAAGCGCTGATCTGCTTTCCTTGTTTGAGCATCCTCTTGACTTCAGTAACTGTTTGAATGCACTGCTCCATCTTGCTTAAAGAATAAGCCTTGATCTGAAATGTAAAAATCGGATTCTTGTTTTGAGAACTGTACTGTTGTAAAGGTGTATTTGCTTGTTTTGTGTATAAATTAACAAGCACAGACAAATGTTTCAGAATAGAGTTGAGAGATGGGAGATGATAGAAAAGCAGAAAAGGTGGAAGTCTAATCTGTGCCAAAAGAAGTTGGGAATGCTCCTCCCTCTTCCCCCAGTTTACTGTGGTTTAATTATGTGGGAGGTGGGAGCAGTTATTTTTAGAAAGTCAATCTAAAGAATTTTGGTACTTCGCAGTATCTGCATTTGAAACGCAGATAACACTGGTGTTCCCAGAATTTCACCTCTAGACCCTAAAATAAAACCAAGTCAACTGGCAAAAACCCCCAACCAAACAAAACATTAAAAGTTGCTTTTAAAATGGAAAAATAATGATTGCAGTTAGTTCAAGGTATTTTACCAAGTTTACTTTTTGATAAGACTAATCGTGTACAGTCAGCACAGGTAGACTAACTCATGGAATGTGAATGAGCAATGCCATTTGGAGTGTAGGTAACCTTTTTAATTCTGTTACTTTTAGTAACGTACATGAAAGGGAAGCACATTTTGGAACGACAGCAGAAATATATGCCTACAGAGAAGAGCAGGAATATGGAATTGAAACGGTCAAAGTGAAAGCAATAGGAAGACAGAGGTTCAAGGTGCTTGAAATAAGAACCCAGTCAGATGGGTAAGAAAATGATGTATTTAATTCTACATAGTGCAAATCTTGTTTCACCAAAACATTTACATTTTACTGCAGGTGCATCTGCCCTTTCAGTCACACAATTAACTGATTAATATAGATATTAATTGAATGCTTAATCAGTAGCTTCTCTGGTTATTAAGGACTTCTGACATTTCCTGTTCTAAGACTCATGTTTTAGTTGTTAATAACTTTGCTATAAAATTCTCTGAAGAATAGCTATGTGTAGTTTGATTTGATATGTGTGAGAAAACATCTGTCAGAATGACTTTGTTTCTGAAAACTAAGTCAGGAAAAAGATGTTGATTTGCCTGCATTGTAAGTTATAAAGCTTTATTTCAAAATCTCTCACATCCCTGTTTCAAACCAGATGTGAAATGAGAGGATACAATATCAAGTGCGTGCCTTCTGTTGTCTTGCGGAAAGCCTCTCTGATAGCAACCAGATTCTATTCCTTTGAAGAGCTGTAACTTTCATTTTCTGAAAGGAGACCTTTCTAGAGATGGTCTGCATTGGATGTGTTCCACTTCATAACTTTATGTGCAATTGCAGCTCTGAACTGCTGCAGGCAAGGGTCTGACAGTGCAGCTAATAACAATATACTTGTCCTGTTTTGTACTTTGAGTAATCTTTAACTACTGAGCCTCAACAGCATACAGAAGGATTCAGCTACATGATTCAGATATGGAGAGGACAGTAACTGTGCCCAGAGGGGTGGTGGCTTTCATGAGAAGCTGCCCATGAAAAGGGAGGACTGAAGTCTGGTAATAATGGAGAAACAAGTTGCTTCTCTTGTTCATTTTTCCTTTTGTAAAACATTAAAAGCACATTGAGATTTCTGGATAAATATTTGAATATGAAAATAGGTTCTTGATTTTTGCTAACTACAAGCAGCCCATCATTTTCACTTTCTCAAATACTAAATCTTGTTAAACCGTTGTCACAGTTTAGTACATCCTTACCTTCAGCAAGTCTTACCTCTTCCTTTCTGATTGTTCACTGATAATTCACTGCTAGAAAAGTGCTACTTCTCCTGTTACTGGTTGACAATTCTTTTCATGTGCTTGTCAAACACTCTCAAATCAGCTTTGATAGGAGTATTCTTTTCTATATCCTAGTCCTGTTCTTTCCTATATTCCAATGTGATACCTGTGATATTGAGAGGCTCCTGACAGTTTTAACATATTATGTAATTAATACCTCTGTCCATTTAAAAAAGTGGCTGAGGCCCTTAGCATTTAGTTAGGAGTATGCTGAGTCTTCTGTCGTTTTTAAGTTCTTCTTGACATCATACATTGCATCATGAGCCTCTGTCAGCATCATGTTCCAGAGATACAGGCTCCAGACATCGATTCTGTGAGCATGTGACAACTCATGTGCATGAGCACAATTGCTAGAGGTTTTTGTAGTCTTTCCTGCAAGGCATATAAAAATCATCTTCGTCCAAACCTGTAAATCTAAAACTTATCATCTGTATTCTGCTATTGTTCAGTGTAGTGGCACTGCTCTAGAAAGAGGCCTAGGAACAGTCTGACATCAGCATTTTCTTAGTTTTTTTATGACCTGCAGCTGAAAAAATGAAGAATACATGTGCTACTTGCTATTTATCACTATCTAACATTTGGTAACAGGTAACGTATTCCAAATTTTGCAGCTTAGAAAAACCATTGCTTGAACACAAGATGGCAGTACTTGGACAGCTACAGTAGCAATGGCATCGTTACTGAGAATTCGGTATCCAGAAACAGTTAAGATGTATAGTGATTTTGTTGTACTGTTAAAACATTTTATTATGATGGTTTTATATGTACTGACTAGCAAAGCTCACTTTTACGCAGCATGTTCGCAAGTTTATTACGTATGAATTTTTAAATTGTGAAATAAGGGAGGTGAGATTAATCTCATCATGGCAAGCTCTAGATTTGTTGGAATGACTTAAACTATATAGAGTTACTCTGCTTTCAAATAGTCATGTGCTTGGGAATTCTGTAGGGATGCATATGCGATTCAAAATGCTTGAATTAAGCTAGAATCATTGCTCAGTCCCAGTATTCTGGCACTTTTCAGAATATAGAAACACTTCCCAGCATTTCTTCAGAGTAAACCTATGCAAGTAACAACAGGCAAAGTGATCGGAGCCCTCCATGAACAAACAGGGGTCTGTATATTGTGCACATGGAAGCAAGATCGGAATCGGTGTTTACCTTAATATCATCAGAATGACTGTGATTTACCTGAGTATGTCAGTTGTCTCAACAGAAACTTTTCCAGGCTCATGGATGAATGCTTCAAGTCTCAGTAATATAGTCAGTATTTGAGCGTACTTACCCATTTGTGAACCTCTTCCAAACCATCAGCAGTAAGAAATGCTGAAAATTTTTGCTTTGGCGAAAACAAAAAGCAGGCCTTTCTGATTCAGTGGTTGGGCTAATTAATTCTCATTAATTCTGTCATTTGCAAGAGTAATCTGTTAGGTTTTCTAAACCTTACGTGTACATTTACATTTTCAATTTTGTACAGTAAAGTTCCTAAGGCTTTCTAACTTGATACTGGTGCTGTTAGGGAATCTAGTTCTGGCGATCAGAACCCTCATGAGCCAGCTGCAAGGGCTGCTGGCATGAGGGTAACGGGCGGGGTGCTGTCTGAGGACAAGGATAGCCAGGTTAGTATGTGCTAGGTTAGTATGTACTAGCTTTGTGTCTGTTGTTGGCAAGAATTTTAAGTGTCTTGACACATGGATATCTGTAGTGAATATTAAGAGATGGCACACTTCAGAGGTCTGTAATTATTGGAAAAATGAATGTTTGCCTCTACAGTGTTGTCCCTGTAAGTACAATTGGAAGTTTGTAATGACATGCATCTTAATATTTCAGGATTTCTGATGCATAATACTGTTAAAATATAAAGTCCTTCCTGCTAGACAGTATTCTTAGTAGCCACATAGCTGTTGCTGAACTCTTTCTGGAACAGGTGACCTGGTTGATGCTAGGATATTAAAAGATGATCAGAGTCTATATCCTATTTCTGCTGATTTTGAACTCCAGCTAAGCACATAAGCTGTTGTGGTTTGAAGATAGCAAACTGCATTTCAGCTAAACTTCCTTTCTGAGGGTTTGATATGTAATAGCTGACTATTAGTTTATACCAAAAGTAACTTGAGGAGACAAAAATCTAAAAATACAATGCTGAGATGGTAGAATGTTCTGCTGTGTTGCCACTGTCAGTCTGGCTTTAATTCTGTCCACCACAATCCCAACAGATACCTAGTGCTCTAAAATACAAAGACAGCCTGTTGTATCCCATGGAAAAGGAAGCTAACTGTGAGAGAGGGTGGGGGAAAAAAAACAGCAAAGAAACTTTTGCTGAAAAAGTTAAAGCTGTGATCTTCATCACTCTACAAGAGCTCTGTATACCAGTGCAAAAAATATTTGGAAAACAGCTAATTCTGTTTTTTAAAGGAAAAGGAAAAATAGAGATTGCTTCTGTCTTCAATTTAGGGAGATCAAAGTCCAGGCAGCACAGTGGCTTTAGTAATTTAGCCAAGGGCATGAGATAATCTGTGTTCTAGAACAGTATGTGTTTGGTTTGCTACAGATATGCTGTATGCTCCCTAAGGTGATTTGATTTAAATTAATACCACTTTAAAAATCTGATTAAATGGATTGCTGCTTAAATTCTATAGTACTATGTAGTGATTAGATCTATTACATAAGCCTATGTTTTTATAAGGAGTAAAATCCATTTTTTTAAACTCTTGTATATGTGTGTATATATCATATTTTTTTTCTTTTATCAGAATCCAGCAGGCTAAAGTACAAATCCTTCCTGAGCGAGTGCTGCCTTCAACAATGTCAGCAGTACAGCTGCAGTCTCTCAGCCGATGCCATATATTTCCTTCTTCGAAACCTACAGAGTGGCAGGACCGAGCTATACATCAGTGGTGGCAGAAATATCAAAAGGTTAGAAACTAGTTGTGGTGGTATTTTTCTTTTAATTTTTGATAGTATTTTGAAAAGCAATATAAAATTCCATCTGTTCATCTTTAGAGGAGGATGCACGACTGGGATGCTAGATGCCAACCTCCTGCTTTTGTCGCATATTGTGTGATTGTTTATCAGCCATCAGCAATGGGGAAATACACGCTTTGTATTATGAGTTCTTGTTGGTTTTAATTACAGTATTATTAGATTAATATGACATAATAATTCATGTAATATTATAATTATTATTTTTTTACATATTCAAAACACCTCAGAGAGAGTGCTGGTTGGTTATGCTGGTAGATGATGAAGTGTTGGTGGAAAAAACAGTAAGTTTGTAGGGTTTTACTTGTAGGAAGGTCAAAGAAGCATCTTCATTTTTACTGACATTGCTTTGACAATAAAAATATTGGCAATCAGTGGTGACAGTGCCAGTGCTTTGGCTTTGTACTTGTCATAATGGTTTGGTTTTGGAAATAAGGACATTTTTCTGGCTGTTTGATTAGGGTAGAAGAGGTCTTTAAAGAGCAGAGGTGGTTTAGATGTGACTCCTAAATTTCAGTAATGAAGCTGAAGACTTGTAATGTCTTAACTTGGAATCACGATTCCATTTGCTAATTTTGCTTTAAAACCTGCATCAGCTAGAGGAGTAACTTCTGCACCTGCAGTTACTTCTTCACAGAAAATCTGCATTAGAATGACAGACTCAGGTTTTTTAACTCAGTCAGATATTCCCACATAGATGATTACTGGCTAACAACTAGGTTGTTCTTTATAGTTTTGAGCATGCTTTGTATTGTGCTTTCATCTTGTAAATTTTTATGTAACACATATCTAAAGTTCTTGCTGATTTTTGTGTTTAGTCATTATCTTTGTCAGGTCACAATATTTCTATACAATCCATTCTAAGTCTGTTTTTTGATTTGTTAGTATTTGTTCAACAGATTTACCTTCCGAGATAGTTAATATGTAATCTCCCCCTGTGTTTTGTTTTTTTTTTTTCCTTTTTTTTAACTGAATTTAGAAACTTTCTTAAATTTTATTATGGCACTAAAAGTGACAAGATAAGAAAAGGTCGTAGAAATCTCTAATTTTTTTCATGCACTCTGCATATGTTGACATAGTAGTTATTAGCAGAAGATGGTGCTTTTCCACATGGAGTGAGTGAATTAGCAGTTCCATGGTCTTACCAATTTTATTTCCTAGAGCTTTTTTAATAAGTATGCAGACTTTACACTTCTTTAGAAGTAGAGGAGAAATAATCATTATCAAGATGTTGGCATTGTCATTAAGGAATTAGGTTCTACTTTCGTAGAATCTAATTTTGCTTCACTGGCACAAATTCTGTCTTTGCTTGTTTACAGTATTTTTGCAGCACTGCAGCTGTGACAGTACTTGGAATCAGGAGGGAATTCACACTGAGATTGTAGGGCAGAATTTTCAAGAGCCCTAAGTGGCTGATGCCAGGCCTAAGCTACAAACTTCTGCATTGCTCAGGAGAATAATAAGGTGTGATTTGTGCTAGAGACAGCTGTGCTGTTTAAAAGGTGCTAAAAGATGCATTTATACAAGTGAATGTGCACTTTTACCAGTATACAGCGTTTTCCTTTAGGAGTCTGAAATAAAATGTACTGTCAAAAGGATAATTTTCTTGGAATAAATTATGTTTCCCATAATAAGCACCATGCTAGTGTATTGTACTAGTATAGTTATACCAGGAAAAGCCTTTCAAGTGTAAACCTAGCTTATTCTCAGGCACAGTGCAAGCTTTTAAAAGACTAACTATCATTAACAGCGGACAAATATTCATGGTAAGGTTAATGGGACAAGAGTTAGCGCTGAGGTCAGTAGGAGAGGATGTGGTGAAACAGGGCAACCTGACACCTTTAAAAAAACTAAAATTGTGGCTTATTTATTATTTATTTAACCCACCGTTTCAGTCAGTGGCATATAAGAGGAAAGATACCTTGAAGTCTTCTATATCTGTAGAGATCTTTGGAACTACCTTCAGAAATTAATATAGAATCCTCGTAACTCTCCTCATTGTCAGATGCAGCTAAGGTTTGGATTTTTTTTTTCTTCAATGGTTTTGAACTCTGTAGCAAAAAAAAAAAGCTTTTGATTCTCAGAGTTCTTGAACAAGTTTACCTATGAGTTAACAAGCCCAGAAACACTAAACTTAGTGGGAGTGGGGCAGAAATCCCTTTCCAAGACGGAGTCTCTCTGATGGTAGCTGAAATGCAGTGCACATGTTTTGTGGACTGAGATACAGATCCAGAGTAGGGGCATCGTCCTGTTGACCTCCATCACTCTATTGATGTCAGTAGAACTGTGACTGTTTCCAATATGACAAGCTGTACCTCTGTATATTTACTAATGTGATGAGAAACATCAGAAAATGGAAGTTGCATTTTAAGAACGGTTTCTGCTCCATACAAGAGCTGACCCCATGTCAGCTGTCACAGAAAATACATTTGCTAATTAAAACAGTAACTTGAATTTTGGTGTGCCTGAGTTCTTTCTTCAAAGTATCATTTATTTGCTGTGGATCTTAGTCTCTATTGCCTGATTCTTATATTTTTTTTTTCCCCTCATTTGTAATATAAGGGTAGTTGCCCTCAAAGGGAAAACGAGAATTTAATTTGTAAGTATTTATAGAACAATTTGAGATCCTCTTTTGGAAAGCAATGTGGTTATGTAGTGTACTGCTTTTTAGATTTTTATTAACCTAAATCTATAAATTTAAGTGTTCTGAAGTTACTGTAGAGAATTGGTTAACTAAGCAAATAACCTTACACTGCTGGAAATTTGGTGGTTAAGGAATTCGGTTATAATCTAGTTTTTCTTGTCTGCAGGGTATGCACAGGCTATGCATAGGCTGAAGATTTTTTAGAGGTGATATTGGTGGCCATTTATATTTTGTTCCTCCATATCTGCTCTCTATTGTTGTATAGATATTTTTGTACACAATTGAAGTGAACGTGTTAGTCATGTTCACAGCGAAGTACGATACAGTAGCATGGGCCACTCCTATTAGTAACATTTTTATTTTGAAAGAATACCCTTCAATAAAAAATAGTTATGAGACCTTTAGTTTTTGGTTTTTTTTCTATTGCTTTTGTTTTCCTCCTCCACATTTGTTTCTTACTCAGTGCTCTATTTGGGTCTGAATTTTATTTCATAGGATGTTGTTAGATGGATATAGTACAATGTTTTGTTCATTGTCTTTGGGAAGTTATAATAAAGCTGTTTAATAGATTTTCAGTAGGCTGGCACAAGCAGTAAGCGTTTCTGAAAATATGGTTTCCATTAAAAATAGATACCAGAATGAGAGTGGCTAGCAATATATGACTAAACATCAAGACTAAGTTTTCTTAATCAGTAACTGTTCTGCTGTGAGAAAGCGTCTTCTGGAACTCCTAACTTGGTTATGTTTTTAACATTTCTATTTTAAAAATATCATCATGTATCCTTTGAATTTATATATGTTAGCTTAAAATACCTGACATGGCCCATTAATCTCCTTCTTTCATTTTATTTCTGCATTTGACTAAATTGATATGAATACTTTAATCGCCTTGTACCAACAATTGATGGAGACTAAGGAACAGATGCACTATCTAATGGTACTTACGTTTTTTTGAACTGTCTAGATTTCACATAAATACTCTTTCGAAAGGCATAATTTCTTATTACTAAACATTAGAAATACTTTTAATGCTGAGACAGGTTTTCTGAGAAAATGCATATATTGTCTGTCTCGTACAGAAGTCATAGCTCTCAATGCATTTGAGAAGTGGTTTGGAAGCTTCACGTTGAAATACTGGTCTGATGGTGATAATTTGTTGTATCTTTAAATATTCAGGTATCTCTTCTCTGTTTTATCTGTTTGAACAAGAACTGACCCTAAAATCTGCTAATGTTAAAGAACAAATATTTGTGGTTTTGGTTTTAGAGGAAGTTCCACTGTGCAAGTTTGACATCTTGGCCTCCCTGGCTCTACTCTCTATATGATGCTGTAAGTTCACCCTGTGTATTTCCAAATAATCTACAATTTGTTTTGTATGTTTTAATATATAATTATTGGATAATGTAATAGCTTTAATTTTTTTGGCTCATAAGTTACATTTTAGTGTACAGTTTCCAGTTTACTGTGAAAAGAGCAGGAAGGGCTCCCCACTCTGTATAGTTGTTCCCTCATGCTAGAGCATGCGTCTGGGGTGGGTAGCAGAGGTTCAGGTTCATGCTATGTTGTCTCAGAGCAAAAACTGGATCCTCTGTACCACATGCTCCAGGTGAATGTCCTAACCACCTGGGTGCCGGATAGTCTTAGGTCTGTCTTTCCTGTTGAAGTTGATTTACTATTTAAAATGTACATATTTCTTTATATACATATGTATATATGCATATTAGTACATAAAGTAATTAGTGTAAGAAAAAGCAGCAGTAGGGAGGAGGCTAGCCCTCATCTCATTCGTACAGTTCTAGAATTTTAGCAGTTGTCTCCTTATCTCAAATGAGAGTTATAACCACCATGGGCTGTTGGTTCATTTTGGCCCGTTTCTCATCCTGTTTTGCTCTTAGTTTAAAATATGTAGGTACAAAATGAGCCTGTAATTATTGTAAGGCTTAAAAGCTAATGTCCACTTAGGGAAAATAGCTTACTCTACATTTTGCTTCCTTTTTTTTTTTTTTTTCCTAAGAAAACAGAAATACCTATGTATTTAAATTAGGCTTTTCTTCTAACAAAAGGAAACCTTGATGGAAAGAGTCAAGAGGCAGCTACATGAATGGGATGAAAATCTTAAAGATGAATCTCTTCCAACAAACCCGATAGGTATGACGTTGTTTAGCCTATGAACTCAATTTTCTTGTTTCTTAAGTTTCTTAAGAAAACAAAACTTAGACAACTACCTTTTATTGGCAGTCCATCCTTCACTTCCAGTTTCCAATAAATTTTGGTGATTGACTTTCACGAAAGGATGATAGAGCTTTAAACACAGAAACATCCTCCATCCATGCGGAAACACGTTCAGTAAAAGAAATAGAACTCCATCGTTCTCCATGGCAGGAGGAATGTGATCTAAGTGTTTCATAGGAAAATGAGCCAAAAGCATACTAGATTTTTAAAATTATCTTTACGTACGTCTAAGTGTTAGTATATACAATCTCTTTGTTCTTACTTCTTATTACCTCTTATTAGACAGCAGGGAAAATAGCACCTAATGGCAAAAAAGTTGGTATCAGATTCCATGCCTTAGCCAGCATTGGGGTTATGCCCCAGCCAACAAGTCTGTTCTGTCTGCAGGTCTGTAGGATCTAATAAGAAGGAAATTTCAGTTGAAGCCTTTCTAAGGGGAAAAACATCCTTTCCTGTGTAGACTCTCAAATGCCTAATAAAGGGGAAATTAAAACTGCAGTCTGCAATTAAAGTCAGTTGAGCACCAAATACAGGTCTGGGCTCAATAGTTTTGATGTACATGGAACTCTCGTTTCTGATTTGCCTAAAGTAGTTGTTGAAAGTACTTCCCGTCTGCTTTGCCCAGCGTGCTGCTTAAAGGACCGTATATGGAAAGTGTATGAAATAATCTGAAAACAAACAAAAAAATCCAGTATTTTTTGGCATTTCTCTTCTCATGATTCACAGCACACTGATATTTTGCTGGCTTAAATTTTCAGTTTTTGAATTCTTTTACAGGCTCTGAGGAATGGGGTGATTTCCAGCCTAGCAAGGTTTTTGTTAGCTAAAGTAAAGAATGACTAGTAAAGTCCACTACCTTTTGTGTTTGTACCTTTTTAATACCTGATTGAAGTTGCTGCCTGAGAATTTACTATCCTATTAAAACTTTTTTTTAAAAAAAAAAAAAAGTCTGTCTTCTTGACTGAATATTTTTGGGTCTCATTTTGGTCTGCATTCAAATGTGAAAAAGCAAAAACTCCAAAACTTCCAGAAGGGAGTGTATACAGAGTATGTCTTTTTCCTTCTCACAGTGTAACAGTAAAGAATACTTTCTTAGTACTAATGTGAGTAATATAACTTGGTTGTAATTTATGAAGAAGGTGTATGTTTGGGATTTTTTCTCTTTAATTTTTCCTTCTCTCATAAAAGCCCATCTTTCTTTTTGCAAGAAAAAGAGGAAGTGCAAGCATAAAGGTAACAACCAGTGGTTGGAAAACTCAGTAATTCACTGTGGAAGTGGAAGTCTGTATCATACAATGTTCTCCAGGGGTCTCTTCTGGTTTTAGAATACATTACCTTACTAGCATTCTTCAGTCTCCATCACTGGTGATCTTTAAGTATGGATTAGACAGATATCTTGGAAGAGGTTTTACGTGTACATGTTCCAGCCTTAGGGCAGCAGGATGTACCAACATGACCTCTAAAAGTCTACTGTAAACCTCAGTTTCAGCACTCTATCTGTAAGTGAGTATAAGTAGTAGGTTTTATTTGTCTCCAAAATTCTAACAGGCCTGGTACTTTCTCATTTCCAGATTTTTCTTACAGAGTTGCTGCTTGCCTGCCAATTGATGATGCGTTGCGTATACAGTTGCTTAAAATAGGCAGTGCTGTTCAGCGACTCCGGTGTGAATTAGATATTATGAACAAAGTGAGTATTTTTTTCTTTGTCATTAAATTGTTTGCACAAAAAAAATAGGAGTGATTGTTACAATCTATAACAAAAATGTATGAAATTTCCAAATAATACTTCTAGAGAGTGAATTTCGGTGTTCTTTTATTTCTTCCTTCCCTTTTAAAAGTTTGCTCAAGAAAGAAAACGCTCTCTCACAATACTAGACTTTGTTTAGCAGCAAGCAGGAAACATATAGTAATACTTGCTTTTGTTGGAAATCGTATTTCAACACCTCACAGCACTTTTTTAGCCAAGAGATGGTGCTAGAAGTCCAATGTTGCTCATAACCATCTTAGGAACATCATAACTCCCTATTAACAGTATGATACACCGCAATCAAGTAGCTTTGTGCGATGAAAACTTGTGGATTTTGTAACAAAAGATAAATCTTCGTAGTATTGAGCTATTGAGTATAAATCTAAGTATTGGACTGAAAGGATTTTTGCAAAAGACATGTATTGACTTGTTAGCCAATACCTTTTCAAGATGTTTAAAAACTTGTCTTCCCTTCCCTTCTTTCCATTGCCATGGCGATGTAATGCTCTAATGTAGGACATTAAAGTTTTTTATTTTTACATAGTACATTTCTTTATAATAATATATACTTTCTTAATAATAATATGTACTATAAGTAATATTATATATTATAACTGATAATGCAACTAAGTATCAGTCAACCTCGTGTCACATCTGACTTGTTTAGGAACAGCATTTGCAACAACATCTCCCACAGGAGTTCAGATTGCTATTTTCTTTACAACAAGAAAACACTGAAAAGAGCCATTGGTATAAATACAAGTTTTAACTGTAAACTTCTTTATGTGTTTGATAGTGGTAGCTGGAATATTTACTGTGCAATTCTTGAATGGAGAGACAAATTAATATTTTGTTAATACTTTCATATCACAAAGAATAGCTATATACATCCTGGTTGACCCTCACCTTGCTGGTTGTAAGCTTGCTGGGGATACCAAAGTACTGTCTCAAACATTAGGTATAACATAACCCCAGTCACTGTTGTGTTTGGCTACTGGATATAGAGCAGTGGAAATTTTGCCTGTTTGCCTAAAAAGTACTGCCTGTTTCTGCACAAAAGAGAACCGGAGTGTCATTTTAATATTGTTCCACTTCTCAAAGTTCATGCACCAGAAATCTAAAAGGGAATATACAGAGAAAAGGAGACGGAAAATGTCTCTCTTAAATTCTGAGACAAAAATGGACAGTTTTTTGCGTGAGGCTCTGTAATCAGATTAAACTTCATTTTGTCTTTCCTGAGTCAGAAACTCTGAAAATATTCTTGATATTCAGGTACTACTAAGAACTGTTCATGTTCAGTACATAGTATATTTTCTATAAATCCCAAAGAGACAAGAGGACTTAAGTTACCCCCATAAAATAGAAGGTAAAGTTGATTTTTAGCCTACACCAAAAAGGTGTTTTCTTCATCAGCGTGTGACATTTTATTTTGTAAATGTGTTTAACTGTTCTATATTAGTGTGAGAATGGTAAGTGCATTATGGTTTTTTACAATTTTTTAGCAACATTTATTTTGGTCAAATCCACTCTTTTTAAGCCAGGGTTCTTTAATCAGAAGGGGTGCCCTGGCAACATAACATATATTTTGGTTTACTCGAGAAGGATGGACTTAACATGTTTCATTGTTCAGAATGTAATTTACAGTAATATTGTAAGATGTGATCCATTTTCTTTTATCTTTGATATCAGTGTATTATATTGCACTTTTAATAGCTTTTTCTGTTATTAAAGACAGTTAACTGTTTCTGTGCTTGTTTTTAAAGGGATGTACATCACTCACAGGTATCATACTTCTGTGAATTCTGCTTGAGAGTGCTAACTGTAGTAATTAGATAGGTTTGGAAATGGAGGGATGGAATTAAGTAGCTGTCTAAATTGGATTTTGAGAGGGTTATATGAGCATTAGATTATAATCCGTGAGTAAGGGCGATTTAAAAGAGTGAGAGATTGCAGGCGTTAAAGGTCCCTGGTAGGAGAGAAAGGCCAAGTGAGCTTTAAGAAGGGAAGTGAAGAGAACTGGTGTATGATAAATAGTATCTGTAGAGTAGAGCAATTTTCCTCCCTCAGTCTCCAAGATCAGTAGACAGTGTGTTGAAAGTGTGGGGCAGAACCAGTGTCACCTGCAAGAAAGGAGCTGGAGGAAGTTGAAATACAGCAACAAGCCCAGAGCATCGGAATAGAGGAAAGGGAAAGTAAAGACTGACGTAAGCCTGTGTAGTATCACGAGTGGAGTGCAGGAGTCAGAGCTCAGGGAGACTCAGAAGCACAAACTATGATTTACTTAAAGTTTTAAAAGGAAATGCGCTCACACAGGAACTTGTCCAAGTGAAGATCCTAGGCCCAGCATTTTGTTCCAAAATGTAGTGGATCATTTTTGGGGTAATTTCACATGCATTACCTTTAGAAAGAGGTAGAAGTGATGCACCTCCTGATAATTAATAGTAGTGTACTACTAAGCTGATTTAAATGCTTATTTTCTGGGCAATGTCAGTGATGAATTGTTTCATTCTACTTTCTAGAAATTGTAGAAGATATATGATCTTAAAGAGAAAGATCAATACATCTTACATATTTTTCTTGAGGAGATTAAAACCACTGATCTACAGTATTCTCAAATTTAGAAAAACTTAATGGATGCATTTGTACTCATCTACCTTTTCTGTGTTATATCTTAGAAGAGCAAAGTTTTTTTTTTCTAAATTAATTTTTAGAAACCTTAGAAGGTTGGCTCATTTATTACCTTTGTGTAGTCAGATTCTCTTCTGTGTGTGGATTTTTTTTTGCAGGGCAAAAAAAAGTGTATAAAAATGTTTTATCTTTTAGATAACAATTAATGTTTACCATAAATAATAGCAAATTTTTTTATCCTTTGCTAGAAAGAGAAAACCTAAGTGACTGCTGCCCAGATAAACAAAAGAATTGGTACAAAGTCTATTCCGAGGGAAGGGGAGAGGCGTTTTTATTATTTGCCACTGTGCTGACAAGCGTCTGGAAATGAATGAAATTACCCTCTTTGTTTTTCTTTTCAAGTGTACATCTCTTTGTTGTAAGCAATGCCAAGATACAGAAATAACTACCAAGAATGAAATATTCAGGTGAGTTTATTACTCTTAATCTTTGGGAGGTTCTTGATCAGAAACATTGGCACAGCAAAACAGATTAAGCTAGGATGTATCTTATAACTACTCTCAACTCTAATAAAATTTAAGTAAATATTTATAGGGAATTTTCTTTATAAAGCAAAGCAGGTTATTTGAGCTTTTAATAAAAAGTTAATAAATCCGAACATTGGCATGTATATTGTAACAGGAGTTAGTGTGAAAGGCCATGTTATGTCACCTAGTCCAGCACCTTGCCACTAAAGAGTTGCACTCTCCAGTGAGTTCTGAAATACAGATTTGTTACATATAAAATGTGGGATCTCATGAACTTTATTCAGAAATAAAAGGACAAAAAATTCTCTCTCAGCATTACATCCCAACTTCTAAATGTTAACAGTCTTCAGTGGCAGATTAAAATGCACTAATTGAGTGGCGTAGATAGGCTCCCCGGATGTTGCCATGTAAGGAAATTTGTCTTTTATGTCATTAAGCGTTGTGATATCTTTTTTTTTATTTTAAGATTATAGGGTTTAATCCTAATAATTTCACTAGACAATATATTCCCATTATATATTTGACCTATACAATATCTTCCATGTTCAACAATGATAAGACTATACATTTTCCAAATAATTGCTGCTTCTGGCAGTCTTGTCACTATTTTTATCTTGAATAACTAATATCTGTCCATCACATGATAATGTGAAGGTTAAAAGATGTCTTGGTTTAACAAAGCAAGACTCTCCACAGTTTTCCTTTATCAGTGTGATAAGAAGCTGACATGGTAATTAAAAGCCCTTTCTTATCTTCTAATCAAATGATGGTTTCTGTCAATATGATGTACTTTAACAGAAGAATGACGAGAAGTTAGTGTAATGAATGAACATTTTTGCTTACTTTTAAAGTTAGATTTAAGAGTAGCAATATAGGTGTTACTTGGTTTTATTGGAAGTTGCTATTCCAAAGCAGCAAGCACAATAAATTATGAGTCTATCATACTTTTTTTTATTATACTGAGCTGTAGGTTTTTGAGAGAAAGATTAATAACTGCCTTAAATGAGGTAGTTTCCATAGCATCCTGTCAGCTATCCTCTAAGTAACTTGTCCCCTTTCACAAACAGCTGGGTGAGGTTCATCTGAACACAAGAATGTCTTAGTCCTTACTTGCGATAATATCTTTTTAAATACCTTTTCTGAAGCAGGGACTTAGTAAGTAGGTAACAGCAATAATTTATGTCAGTGATCAATGCATCGGATTTATAACACTGGACACTTAAATTTCTGCAATTCTAAAACAATTTGACCAATGATAATTTACATTAGTATCTATTTGCTTTTAATTTTTAATAACATAATTAAAGGTACTTTTTTTCTACAGCCTAAAGTGGTTCTTTTGCTATGGAAAATAGTTCTAAGCATGGTTGGCAGTTTTTCCTCTGTTTACATTTGATCACCTTTGGTTTTTGTTTCTTCCTTGAACTCTGACAAAATTGTTAATTGTCTGTTGTAGTTTATCCTTATGTGGACCCATGGCAGCATATGTGAATCCTCATGGGTACATCCATGAAACCCTTACTGTATATAAAGCCTGCAACTTGAATCTCAGTGGACGACCATCAACAGAGCACAGCTGGTTTCCTGGGTAATAACAGTTAAAACAAATTTTATTAGTAAATGAGAGAAATTTGGTTGTAAATGTATTCCTGTGATGGTGGAATAGTAAATATGTAATTCTTGAAACATATGCTGTCATTTTGCTGATATGAAAAATAGGAAAGTAAATTTAGACCTTTTCAATATAGAGAATAAAATGGAAAATTCAGATAGAATGTTTTCAGAATTTCTCTGGAATTTTTTAAGTATATAGATATCTTAAGATTTTAAAACATAGTCTAGCATCTGAGAGCTATAAACAGGATAGTGATTGTCTGGGAGTTTCTTTGTGTATGGTTTTGTATAAGCCACAACTAAAATAATAATTACTGTTTCCATTCAGCTTTCTTTGATCATAAAGTGAATAAAGTGCAAATGGGAAACATAATAAATAAATGCAGTTATGCTATTGAGATACTTTTTTAGATCTAAAAACTGAATAAATGTTACATTAATTTAAAAATCACTAACTTTGTATTAATCTGATTACCTTTGGGGGGTTTATTTATTTAATTAATTATTATTATTAGATAATTAATTAAAATCTCTAACAGTAGCATAATTAACTGTCAAGATCTACAAGTCTGCCTAGTAGTGAAGGGTCTTGCACCAAAATGTCACCCTTCTCTGGTAGCTTATATTTAATGTTTTTTTGGCTAGACAAGCATGCTTCAGGTGCTCATTCAAAACTTTGAATATTTAACTCTTGAAAATAGCTCAAATGTCAAACTATATTTGAATTTTAGTTTCACAAAAATATTCTTAAATACATTTTTACCAGATCACTTTTCTGTGTGGTCCTTTAAGTACGAGAGTGTTAGAAATCATTCTTCTGTCCCTTTGGCTATCATGTCCTTTTCTGAAGCAGCATAAAATAATATGTTGCTATGTCTGTAGCCAGTCCAGGGTTCTTGAGTAATGCATGTACACATTTACTCTTCCGTTTTCTCGTGTTGATCATGTTTTTTTTTTTTTCTGGATTATCACATAGAACCGAGTGATGACTTGGAGGATATGTGGCATATCTGTCATAAGAAATGCACTCTTTAAGACTCCTGAAGAAAACTTGTGGCTTATGATACCTAGAGTTAATTTTTCTCATCCTTATGTGTTTTCTGAGCTCTTCTCTTCTATGAGGGTTTCAAAATATTCATATTCTGCGTTTTAAAGCTGTTAAAGTAAAGCCCTGTTGCTCTGGAAAGTACAATTCCCTGTTAATCTAGGAGCAGTGCAAAAACCAGTTTTATTTCCATTAAGTAACTTCCTCTCTGAGAACCATTTTCTGACTCTTCTTTAAAGCACGTAGTATTTTATCATACTGCTGAAATATTGTGCTAGTAAAATGCTTGAGTTGCTTTCTCTACTTGAATGATGTTTTCTTTAAGATCTGCAGGGTTTTTAGGTGGGAGCTGAGTACCTTAATTCCCGTAGTTTCTTTGAAAATCTAGCTTTAGACTAGTATTCCCTTCTTACCTGATAAAAATACTGGAACACAGCTCACTTAAGATGTCTCTTCCTTACACCTTAACATCAACCTTTTGTTTGGTTTTTGGTAGGTATGCCTGGACTATAGCCCAGTGCAGGATCTGTGCGAACCATATGGGATGGAAGTTCACAGCTACCAAAAAGGATATGTCACCTCAGAAATTCTGGGGATTGACACGGTCTGCTCTCCTGCCTCGGATTCCAGAAACAGAGGAAGACTCAGGCCACGATAGATCACCGTTACTCTGCCTGTAATCTAGTAACCTGCTTTGGAGATGAACGGGCAGTAGTCTGTCTCTTAAATGCATCTGCTCAGTTCTGCTTCTGATGCTTACTTAAACTTAAAAAACCCAAGAACCCACGCCCCCACACAGAAAACAACCAAACAAGCAGGCTCACTACATTTGGGTTTGGTGTGTATCCACATTACTGTTGTTTCAGATGCACTGAGAACTGAAGGTTCAATCTTTAAAATGACAGCTGAGGAGAGGAGGTGGCATGAGACACCAAGAAATCAATCTGATCCATCTGGACAGACTTCAGACTGAACTTTCTCTTTCCTTGTATAACTTCCAAAAATGTTTACTGCTCTCAGCTTGCAGTGAAAGAAGGTGGGGGAAAACTAAAATTACAAATAAACAAGAGTATAATTTATGCAATATATGTATGACAGTAGATACCAGTTACTTGCTGTGGAGTATTTTCCATAATATACTTAAAAGTGTCTTTGCTGAGAATCCCTGTTTCTAACTATGTGGAATACTTCAAATTTTATGCTCGTGCTATTTCTCAGATATTTGCTGAATAACCATCAAAGAGAGTACAAGAGCAACGTGTCTCTTCTGACTGATACTGTGTGGGTAAGGTCGGTGGCAGTGCTGTAACTGGCAGAAGCAAGAGCTTCCTGCTCCCTGCAGCCAGAGCAGCTGCATTACAAGATGCCCTTTGAAAGGAACCCCTGTGAAGTGTTCGGTCCTTGTAAGTTGTCTGATATATTTAGGATCTTTGACTTCAGAAGTCTTAAATTTTAAACTATTTATACAAAATACACATGAAATACATTGTCATTTACTGTCAAATGTGCTTATATTTTACTTTTCAAAATTATTTCTGTGAAGATTAGTTTACCAGCATACATGTCCAGGGTTCTGTGAAGTACTGTCAAAAATACATAACTATGGAGATTTTTCAGTAGTACTTATTTGGAAAAGGGGGAGGCAACATCTCTTTAATTTTTTTTTCTTTTACACTTTCATATCATAAAGTAAAATTTCACATTATCACCCTTACCTTACAAAGAGCAAAAGTTCCTAAATAAAACAGAAATAAAAGGCAGTGCTTTTTTTTTTTTTTTTTTTTTTTGTCTGAAGCATTGTCTATGCTACAGAAATCGGGTGCCAAAATGGGGCAGCTTTTGCCACTGATTTATTGGGGTGTTTTTCCCTCAGAATACACTTTGGTGATGGAAACTGAAGATTTCTTCACTATGTGTACATACACAATTTTTTTTTTTCTTTTGAAGGTTTATCATTCACTCTTTATTTCTTCACAGTAAATCTTTGAGAACTTGCATTGTTAAATATAAGGACACAAAGCTACTTAAGATTTAAGACACTACTTGCTTGTTCTCAGTCACGCCCCTATGTCAAACATACGTAGCATGGACAGATCACTTCAGTGAAAGGCTAAGTCGGAACTCTCTACAAGACAAGTAGCTGACTTAAGTGGTAGCGTGGTACCTCTTACAGTGCAGCTGAAAAGGTACCCAGATGTGAAAAGATGCTAGATGCTCAAAGGCTGTTAGGATAGTTGATTATGCTAGGTATGTAGAAACTAATAATTGTGTAACTCAGGTTTAGTTCTTTGAAGCCTTCTACCTCTGTGCTTCTGTGATAACATTTTTTCTCTCCATAGACATCTTTAATACCGTATTTAATTTTGTGTGCAGTGCTCTGACGTGCCAGTGAACTGTGAAAAGCAATACTTTGAATATAATTCTGAACAAATAGAGGGTGAATGATGGCTCATTTTCTTCAAGAAAACATTCTGTATTTTGATTATGTTTCTATAATAAGCTTTCAAAAGGCTGAAATGATAAGCACTACTGTGAGAGTGAGACTGTGAAACCTCTGTGCTTGGATAACCACTGCAATCATACTTAGCTTTGCCCTCGCGCCATGCACATGCACACACACAGATGTGCACACAGACACACAGACACACACACACAGACACACACGGCTTAGCTGTAGGCTCCGGAGGTGTTTTTTTCCCTCAAGGATACCTAGTATCTGTTGTTCCCATTACCCTCAGTAGGGCTTGTTGGTGGCAAGAAGTTTGAGGGTGGTTTAATGTACCTTCTGCTGCCATTCAATTTAAGTACTCACTGAGGGTATGGTGAGGGAGGTTGTCAAAATTATTTTCTCAGCTATCACTGAACTTCATAAGGTCTTTGGGTTTTTGGCCAAGTCTTTTGGATTGCCTCAACTAAAAATGGTATTATGTTGGCAATGTTTGAATACAAAATAGGCATATTTTTGGTATTGTGTATATATAGTCAAATGTAAACCAATATAATCAAGTGAGATAAGCTGGGAGTAAATTTAGCACTAATTTAATTTTATTGTTGATGATACCGTTCCATCTGGCTAACCTTCTGTGTAACATTTGCCATTTCAAAGTCCATGACAATTTCCAGGTTGAAAACAAGTGTGATTCAGGTTGCTGCGAAGAAGATGAATGCTGCCATGGTGAAGCTGGCCGTTATACTGCTACACGTGTAAGAATGCTCAAAACGTCCAGCATGTGACTTAGAGGGTGGGTGTGGAGTCGTGGATGGTTCTACGCAGTGGTTAATGTTTTCTGTGCTTCTTTTCTCCTTTTTGGAGAGAAAACTACTAGATGGGATTGTTGAACATTATTACTGACAAATATGGATATCATATGCTTTTGAGGGCTAAATACACAGGAAATCACATTTTATGAAAATATTTCGTGTATTTACTACATTCATTGGTTGGCACGTAGCTTCATGCATTAATTAATCCGATTGACTTGCTGGCTGCTGCCAAAAGGGATCATCTTTCTCTTCTCTCCCGCCGTAATCTCTGTCCTTCTTAGTGAGATCTAGGAATTAGGCAGGCGCAGGGCCGGTGTCCTGGCTGCGCAGCCACATCAGTGTCAGGTCTGACGGGGGAGGAGGGACGAACGGGCGTCTTGTAGGGCCAGCTGAGGGACTGCCCTGCGCTGCGGCAGGTCTCGGCTGGACTGGGGTACGTGTGGCATAGAACCGCGCGTTGTCAAGCTGCCGTTGCAATAGCAGAAAGACGTCATACAATCAGAGCCTGTAATATTGCAAGTTCCCGTATATTTTAGTTTAGTTTTGGTGAATAGGTAGAATCACATGGACACTTGCACACTTGGGCTAAAACATGTTCAAATACTCTACCGTTTGTTTTTTAATAATGCTATTTTTGTATATGTGCTGCAATTCATTTTGTTCCTCATTGTTTTTTCACCTTTGTTAAATGGCTTTGTAAAAGCTGCGGAAAGGGTAGCACATTCTCCGCTTTAACTCTTCCTCTCTGCCTTTTGAGACAAGTTTTCAGAAAAATCTTGTTGCTTGCAAACATTTGCAAAAAATAAAATTCAGTTTGTTTCAAAACTGATCTTTTTTTGCTGGTTGTTGGGATGGGAAGAAAGAAAATGTTTGGGATTACATTGTGTTTTAAACGGCTTAGCTTCAAAAAGTAACGTTCAGTGAAGAGAGTTTCAGCTTCAAAGAATGCACAGGCTCGATGGGCAAAGGATGGAGAAGGTAAGAAATAAATAACATGGAGAGAGCGTAGGTTGTCATTCTAGTGAATAAGCAAAATGAAACATTAAGTCCTTCATCAAACTCTTTTCTGTGTCTCATCTGTGCGCTTACTTGCTTTAATCCACCTGAGTAATTCTTAGCTTCAGTCCCAAATTGGTTCCCTCCATAGTAACTTCCAAGGTTTAGGAGTCCTGATGGTTTTTCCAGCATTCCCTTTATCTCCAGTTTCTCCCACAAAGAGAAATTAGTAGGTAAATAAATGAGGGGGTTAGGTAGTGAAAGTATGGAGAAGATGCATCTAGAGATGCTTTAAGGAAAACTCGTTGGAGGCTTTGCAGAGAGGCTCAGCAAAAGCACCCCGAGGGAGGGAGGAAGAGATGGGTGCGAGCAGTGAAGCAGAGGGTGCTGGGGTGAGGCCGGCAGCAAGGGGGACCCAGAGGCGCTGGTGGAAAGAATTTTAAGCTGCATAAACATCTGCTGAAACCTGGGCTTCCCCCAAGCCTGTTATTTTAATTACACACCGTCCTAAGTTCTGTAGTGAGGACAGCTTAACCAGGAAAGAAGGGAAGTTTAGATTTACAGGTTATATCCACAGAGCTGACAGCTCGTGCAGGGCTGTCCTGTTGTGGCTCAACCAGCAGCACCAGAAATGGGTCCCAGTAATCTGGTTTATTCATCAATTTTTATTAGGAGAACGGGAGGGCTTTCCCAGGTACCTGCCTCACTTGCAGATGCTCTTTGCCACACAGACGGCGCTGCTGATGCAGGTTTTTTTCCTAGTGCAGAATTTTTTGCTCTCGCTGAAGCTTTTCAGCATGCCATGGGCTTTCCCTTTCCTCTGTATTTATTTTAAGACTTTTGTGTCTTCTGAGAACTTGGATCACTGTGTGATGATGTTATCCAACTATATCTGTAACATGAATTCAGAATGGTTGCCACTCCATTGGAAAAGTCCTGCAGGTTTTTTTTTTTTTTTTGTAAGCATTATAGAAACTCATGAGGACTTTGACAGCGGCACAGAGTTTACAGTGGGCATCACCACGTTGCTGCCCCACAAAGCACGTGGCTGTGGGAAAGCAGTGGAGGACAGCTTCCCAGCCTCCTGTTTCTTTCCGTATAGCTTTGTCTAGAGGTACAATGCCTACAAGAGGCCATAGGAGGGGTAGTTTGGGTGATATGCAGGTGGTGGAGCATGCTGAATTGAATTTCAAACTCTTAAAGAGCTATTGTCTTACCACAGTATAAAGAAATTATCTAAAATGTCAAAGCTTTAAATCCTCGTCCTCTTGCTCAGCCCGCTAATGAAGGACACCGTTAGTCTCTCCACCACTAACGCTCTGCCAAGGTGACGTAACCTTCACTGTCCCACTGGAACTGGAAGCAGCTTTTGAAGGGAGGGAAAGGCATTATTATACGACAGCCAGTCATGCTTTGTGGCGTTCTGCAGGATTTGTTGATTTATTGACGCTTGTAAGAAAGGTCACCCACCTGAACAAAAGCCCTGGTAGAGCACTGGGTACCTGACGATGTCCCCGACTGTATTGACTCCACAGAGAAATTATGAAGGCTGTGAAGTGGAAGCAGGTTACATGACTTCCTTAAGCTGCGTGCTCTCCTAGAGACGGTAAATACAACTTTTACAGTACTTAGAGGACAAACTTCATCTGCATCTGAGTCTCGTGGCCCCTGTCTCCATACGGACACAGTTAGTGTTTGATGCTCTGTATACGTTTTTCCCACCCACTAACACCCCCAGTTCTTTGTGTAGAGGAGCAGAAGGGTGGTATTGCCATCAAAAACTACTTGAGCCCTTATCTCTTGAGTGTCCCCTTGAAGTTAATGAGGCATTTATGTCTGTACCATATGGGGAAGTAAAATAAGGATAATAATCCTGCTTTTATGTTCAGCCAGATGAATTCCCCTGTACAACTTGTGTTTATTTTGTAAGCTGTAGATGCAGGAGGCATCACTCTCCCCAAGCTGAACTGAGACAAGGTCCGGGGAACGAGGCATAAACTTCACAGACCGGCACAATTAATAAATGTTTGGGAATTAAAGAATAGTTCCCATGTGTGCTGGCGACGTTTCTGGATGGGAACGTGCTCTGCTGTGTCCCTGTGCGCTTTGGAACCATGGTGCAGTGCCCAGCCCTGGGCCCCGCTGCCTGCCCCTGCCTGTGTGGCCCAGGTCCCTGGCCCCTGCCCGCCTCGGCACCGAGTGGGTGAACCAAGAAGCGGGGTGTGAGGGTGCAGTGTCTGACTGATAGCCATATGGCAAGCCGTAAGGATATTAGTTGACATCTTCTGCATCCATTTATATGAAAGTGTTCACGTTTCAGAGCAGGTCTCTGCCAGCTTGTGAGCAGCAGGGCTAGGTCGGGGTGTCGAACTTTTAATTTGTTTTTATTTTTAAAACCCATCTCCCCTATGTAACTACCAGCCCCAGGGTGCACCCTCACGCTTTGGGGCTGCCCTCTCTCTGCCAGGCTCTGCCCCGCGGGGCGCTGCGGCTCGCAGGGGCACAGCACGCACGGGGAGCGCAGCCTCCCACTGCTTCGTGTGCACGAGTGTGGGCTGAAGGAAATGAGAGAGATATAGATATAGCTATAATCTCTCTCCACACACATACATATGATCTATCTATCTATGGCTCCTACACTTAATTTTTATATATATAAAAATATAATATATTATAATAAACATAGTAAAATATATAAATATATATGATCATAAATATTCTAATAAACATACATAATAATTAAAAATACATTATACATTATAATATATAACATATCTATTTATATACATGTAAATCTGTGGCTCCTAAACATTTTATGTATATATATAAAAAATATAATAAATGTAATATGTATAAATTTATATATTATGTATTATATATATTTGTTATGTTTTATTATTACATGTAATTTATTATTCTATTATATATTTATAATATATATTATGTGTACATATATATATTATTTATTATAATTTATTATGTTTTTAAAATGTATTTATTTATATTAAGTTTAGGAGCCATTGATAGACAGACAGATCGTGTGTGTGTGTGTGTGTGTGTGTCTGTGTGTGTCTGTGTCTGTGTGTGTCTGTGTGTGTCTGTGTGTGTAAGAAAAATAAAGCACACCTCCCAGGGAAGGCCAGTGAGGCAGCACAGCAGGAGCGCATCGGGGGCACAAGGGATGCTCGGGCACTGCTGTGGCACAGCCGTGTCCTCCGACGGGGCCGTTGAGCTCCTTCGCCTCCCTCCGCGTGGTGCAGAAGTCTTGTGGCGCTTGTGGTTGTTTTCCTCCTCTTCTCTTTGCTTCGGGCCAGAGGTTTAAGGGCTCTGCAGGGAGACTCAGCCATGCCCTTTCCCCTTAAAATGCATCCAAGCCAATCTGGCCTTTCAATCATTTTTACAGTTCATTACATCTTGAGAGAATGGTAAAAACCTTCATTAATCCTCAGAAGCCATCTGCGAGGGAAAGCAGTTTGTATTATTTACCATTTTGCCCTTCACAGACGGTTCCCTCCTGCGGCAGTGATGAGCGCGGGCGGGCGCAGGGGAGCAGGCGCCTGGGACCCCCCGACACAGAGGGGCTCTGGACTCCCAGGGGTGCTTTGCTCTGCAGAGAGGGGCTGCACTCCCGTCCTGCTGCTCCGCGCTCCCATTTGAACAAAAATTAGCTTTACCCACTGCAAAAAAAAAGAGTTTGTTTCATTATTATTTGCAGCCTTTTGGGATACGTCCCCCCGCAAGGACAAGCGGGCGTATGGGAAGCATTAGCCTTTTCCTTTTTCCAACAAACCCGAAGAGCGATGGACTTAACATCAGTACCGGCAGCTGGTTTTGGGAAGGGCTGTCATGCTGCTGAGCCAGGAACAGCTAGCAACCAGCAAAGCCACGTGGGTTTTTCTGATGTGTAACTTTAATTAAAACGCATTGCAAATATCATTTAATTAGTCAAGTAATCTATGGGAGAAGAGTACTTCATTTGACCATATATATGTCAAACTGCTTGATCTCCTATCTCCCAGTTTGATATTTAAATAGTTCGCAGTCCAATGTTTATTCAAACACATCATTTTTCCAGAGGTCACGCTGGTACTGCTTGCTTAAAATACGCTATTGTTTTGATTTAATGCAGTTTCATTTTTAATAGGGTTTAATGGCTTTGAAATATAGCAAACCAGAGATGCTTGACAGACCAACTGGAAAGCTCAAGCATAACACGATTTTTAAATGAGCTATTTGAGCAAACATGCTAACTACGCTGAATTCAAGGCGGGACCATTTAATTAAGACGCTTTCAGAATAACCTGTTTGTGCTGTTTTTCACAAGCCCTGGAGATTACAAAGGTTTCAAGCTCATGCCCTTAAAAATCCTCCCTCCAAGTGGAGTTTGACCCCGACAACAGTTTTAGGTAACATAAAGCGTAGTTGCTAATATTTTACCACCTCCACAGAAGTTGTCTTAAAAGATGCAGTTTTGTGAAGTGTTCTTTACAAGAGCCTACTACCGTACTTGTCTCCCTCCCAAGATTTCAGTAGCTCAATAAATTGCACAAGGAGGCTTCAATTTAATTACATAATTAAATCAAACACCATCATGTTCTTATGAGATTTGCCTTATTAACGGGAAAAACAGCACTTTTTTTGTTCCCTTGCTGTCTTCCCGAAGTTCCTAAGTACCTTCAGAATAATTGATTTAAAGTAACTGACTTCCTAGAGAAAAAAAAAAAAAAAAGGCAGCTGGAAAGTTAACGATACGAAAGCATAAAATGCGATTTTTTTGTAGCACCACTCTGGTCTTACCGCCATCTAGTGTTCCAAAATGATATCTGAGGAAAAAAAAAAAAATCCAACCAATTTTGTTAGTTACCATGGTTTTGGAGGAAAACTTAAACCTGCAATAACGTTTCTATACAGGAGAAATGCTCTCGGCTACAGCTACTTTTTTGTTTTTTAAAAGCCAGGGTTGGTAATACATGTTCGTTAAGATCAGCCAGGAACAGCACTGCTTCAAAACCTCATCTTCTACAGCATCCCGTGCTGGCTACCGTTCAAACGGACAACCAGCTCTTCATCGAACCCAGTAGGAGTTATTAGGTACTACATGCAAACAACTCTCTCCTTGTCTTGGTTTCCTTCCCCCATCAATTTTAATTAATAGTCACATCCCTTCTCAGATTTTCCAAAATGTTATTGATATATTTCTTTATTAATTTTGAAGGGCCATATTATTTAGAATTTCCTTTTGAACTGAATTCAGAGTGCATTTTTAATGTGGATCTGTTCAGATAGAAGAAACGTAAGAATAATTCACACAGAAGCAACACAGGGAAGATGCTGGTCTGAGAGGAGTAGGGATGTTAAGGCTCCTTCCCAAAATAATCCTACTGAGTTAAACAGAATGTCTGCAAATCAGAGAGGAGGTGAACGCCTCTGGGTCTCACTGCTGCGAGTTACAAGAAAAGCCGTGGGGAGAAGTACTGAAGGCAAACTGGCAGCTTCTCGAGAGCGTTAGTACTCCGAGGGTGACAGAGCTACAGGACCTAGTGCAGGTTCACTCTCTTTAGGCACGCTCACACCATCACCTGAATTCTACTTGTACCTCGCTGGGAAAGAAAAAGGACAGAAAGCAGCAGTCAACTACCAGACATGGTAAGGGGAAAGGCAGGGAACCTGGATCTCCCTTCCCTTCTCCTATTAACATTAACAGTATGTTTCACACACAAAGTTGAAAACATACTGTAGAACCCTTTGCCAGTTTTCTATGGATTTAGTTACTCAGTGATAAACAAGTTACTGAAAAACTATGGAAGAGACAAATTCATGATACTGACTCAGCTAAGTCATCCTTTTAATCTAAAATTGATTCTGGAATTATGGAAAATAAAAATCTTTTAAGAAAACAGGCTTGTTTTACACAGTAAGACTGTGAGTATTTCAATCTGATATCTAGCTTTAACTACAAAAAGATTGAGAGCTTATTATTTCTAGACACTTTGTTGCTCTCCTAGGCACAAAAAAACCTCCATGATTTTATCTAGAGGATAGAAACAACTTTTTTGTTGTTTTGGGTTTTTTTTTGTTAAGATTAAGCAAAGTCAGAATGAGAAAAATCTTGGTGTCACCTCTAATGCCCCAGAGTCAAGATAAAGTAGTTAAATATTTATCATTAAAATACCACAAAAAGAGGTAGAGGCTGTGGAATTTGGCAAATAACATTTTACATTACTACAAAATTAAACTTCTCCTTGCAGAAATTACGAATTAGTAACAGCAGAACTGTGCTGTCTGAAGCTCTTAAATATGACAAATGCTCTGTTGGCTGTGACAACACTGACAGAATATTTACTGGTATCTCAGTTACACTTAGAGCAGGGCACAAACAGTTCTCTACTATTATTCAATTTTACAGCTTCTTCAGGCAACTTAACAGTTCTTCTTTATCCATGTGGTATCCACTCTTCTTCCATTCATCCCTTAACTGCTGTAATGCTGTTCCAATTTCTTTTCCAGAAGACACACCCATTTTTCTTAGATCATGGCCACTAACAGGAAAAGAAGGAACAGTCCATTGCTGTATTTCTCTTAAAAGATGTTCTTCTCCTTGGTATTTTAGAAGCTCACAGATCTTGGAATTTGTATTAGCTTCCCTAGACTAAAAGAGAAGAGAAAAGAAAAGAGAGGACTCACTATGAAACAGTAGAAAACAGTGCTCAACATTGCGTTATTCCCATGACATCTTATTAGGCAACACCTGGAAGAGTCGGAACTATGAAAGCGAGGATCTCTTCTGCCTCACAAGTTTTAAAACTCAGTCCTAACTTGGAGGCTCTGGAAGATCCTCAGAGACTTCCTGAATTTCAGGTAACAGCTGTAAGCATTATCTTCAACCTCCAACTGGAGAGGAACTATTACCTTTCCTATGGGAGACAGGCCTCACTGCAGAGGCTGCTGTCTCTCACCTTCAGTCGCAGGTTCTGCAATAAAAGTGCAGAACTTCACCTGAAAATTACTTGGACTTTGCTGTGGAAGAACGTCACAGATGGCCTACTTAGCAGTGCTCCTCACGAAGAACACATACCAATGCTCCAGGAATTGCACCAACTTTCAATACACAATTCAAGGAGCTGAATTAAAGCTGGAGTCTCTGGAGGTCCAGATCCTGTCTCATGTTTTAATGCAGAAGGGGAGATCAGCTGGGACAGTACAGCAAACTGCCAGTCCCTAGGTATGTTCACAGGAAACTTATGTTTCAGATGATTGAATATGACATTTTTCAGCCAGAGTGGAAGGTAGGCTTTTAAATCCAGTCAAAAAGTTGCCATGGAACACGAGGTGCTTGAAACTGCTATAAGTGTGGTGGGGTTTTTTGTTTGTTGGTTTGAAATAATTTCTAAAAAAATAATTTAAAGCCTCAGTATTTTGTAAGGGAAAGAAAAAAGCTTTTGAACCCAAGTAGAAACGTCTGCTCTTTATCCTCTTGCAAAACTAAACTCTACTACAGGAAAAGAATCTTTCTATACCAAAGTTTCTGCTTTATGTTGCAGAGACACGCCAGGACATTTGCAATAGCTCTTGTTAATTTCTGGTCCCCTCTCCAGAGGAAAAACAAAGGGGAAAAACAAACAAACCAACCAACCCCACCTTAGTTAACTGGAACTGGTATCAATAATACAGAAAGATATTCTTCCAGTTACTGTGACGGTATTACACTGGGAGCAATCCAAATTTGGCTAATACTTTTTGTCAGTACATCCCATCTTTCTGATGAAAATATCGTGGTCTTTAAAACCCTGGCAAAAATTTGCCTAAGACCAATAAACAAGCCTGCCGATGAAATGGCTCTCACTTGACTCTTTAAGGCCCTTTCTTTCCACTAGGCATTGTCGCCTCTGCTACTCTGTAAAACTGGAAATTCAGTTTACTGTGAAGAACAAAATAAAGCAATATGAAATACACTTACATCCATTATGAAGTCCTGATATGGTCTAAGTGGTTCTGGACCCATAGCTTTGGTTAACTCTTGCCGGTGCTTCACTAAAAAAAGACCCAGGTTTTTTTCTTCTTTTGAGATTTTCAGCCTCAGATCAAGGTTTGTGACATCATCTTTCACCTTGAATAACGATGTCAGAACAGTCATCGGTTTTGGACACAGATTTTGAATGTTTTTAGTGACTCTGTCAAATTCCTCTAAATTGCCATCAAGTGGTAGTCCTAAAGGGATACACACAAAAAAGTGCAAGAAAGAGTACTAGTAAGAAATGTGGATGTTAACACAGAAAAAAAAAAACATTTCTTTCTGGGTAAAACGTTTTCTCTCACTTTGCCATGCTGCAGTTCTGTTTGTATATGATACAGGAGTAGGAAATCAATCTTCATTTCACTTTACCTACGTATTGGGCAATATCCAGCTCATACATAAGTCGAACCAAATGATTTACATGGTTTCCAAGAAGAATTTTTTTCAGTTCCACCCAAATCCTTTCTCCTGATATTCCAGCCAAACCTTTGGCATTTTCTTTAATTGCTTGCAACGTACTAGGTTCATGATCACCAGGTGTTTCTGCGATTCTTCCATAAAACCTGCCCAAATAAAACCCCTGTATGTTACATCGAGAACAATTATTCCATTTATTACTGCTGTTCAGAGAATTAATGTCATGACAGTGTTAAATATTCTAATTTATAATACTAAAGAAAACTTAACAATATGACAATTACAACTCCTTTTACATCACTAACCCCTTTTTGCACTTTTCTGAAACCCTCTACAATGCTTAGTTCATTTCTTCATCTAGGAAAGGCAAAACCTAGTACCTGAAATATCTTAGGATTCGTAAATAATCTTCTTGTATTCTCTCACTTGACTTTCCTACAAATCTAATTTTCTTGTTTTTCAAGTCTTCATATCCATTAAAAAAATCATACAGCATCCCATCCAAACCTAGAAAAAGAAGAAAAAAAACCAGAAGAATATGAATTTACAAACATGGTTGGCACAATTAAACACTCTCATTTGAAAATACAGAAGACAAGTTCTGTGATTTGACCTGGTTTGTCAGATCATCTCACATATTTGTATAGACCTTTCAGCTCATAGCAGTACAAACAAAATTGAAACAGACTGAGGGAATTTACTGGCTTCATTTGAAAAGCAGTGTTTCATCTACATATTTGCTTTTGAAAGAATTTACCTAAAAACATGGAATTGATGGTCAGATCCCTCCTTTCAGCATCCTTTTCCCAGTCAGTGGTGAATTCCACCTCTGCATGTCGTCCATCGGTGACAACATCTATTCTAAGAGTAGTAATTTCAAAATTCTGTTCATGGAGCTGCAAATCCCACAGACATTGTTACTTCGACACAATCATGAACATAAATGTAAAAGCTGTATATTTTTTCAGCCTCATGTTTGTATACAGTTAGTGCTCAAGCTGGACACATGCAAACCAACATGTACCATGTCTGAATACAGAGTAGACAATCAAGAAATACAAACACCTGAAAATAATCCTTGCACCACTCATTTTCTAGATAGCCTACAGAAATCTCCCTGCAGAAGATGGAATAAAAGGCAGAGGAATGAGCAAGGTAGAGGAAGCAAGACTTAGGAAATCAGGAGCAGGAAACACTAGGATCAACTTCCCCACATCTACCTGAACACGTGGGTGGCCTACATTATCTCTTCTAGTGATAACACGGCTGTGTGAATGGGTTATGCAGAGATAACATGCATTATAATATGGCAATTAACTGAATCCTACAAACAAAGAGTCATCAAAAAATCACTCCCTACTTTAAAGCAGGGTCTCATTTAAACTCTTACTGTGATAACTTAACAAAGAAGGAGCATACTACCAGTCTTCTATCAGATATGCTGCACATCCACAGATACAGTTAGAAAAGATCCAAGTCAAAGCATAAACCAACCCTAGCAGTAATGGTTCCATGTTTTTCTCCTTTGTTATTGATCAGACGAACACCAGCAGATGTGAACATTTCCTTCATCTCTGCTGGTGTAGCTGTAGTGGCAAAATCTATATCTTGCGGTGTCATTCCACTTAGTAAATCCCTCACAGCACCTCCTGCTATTCTCAGCTCATATTTCTTCTTCTCAAACAGTTCTGGGAAAGAAAGGAAAATCAAATAAAAAACATAGCACACTGTCAGCCATAACATACCTTTTCACAAATTAAGATCATAGATGTGGGAATACATACTCAAATATGCAGTAAGCAGCAAGTACGTAGGTACCTCACAGCTTCATGCAAAATGCACAGATTAGGTACACAGCTGAGCACCCACAGGTATTTTCCCAATCATTTCTGATATATTTTTCTGGGGCGTTTCTGATAACGTAAATATTAACAGGTTGCTAATTGATACTGGGGGACTCTGGGCTGTGGAACATTTCTAGCAGTTAGTAGCCGACAAGGGAAAAGTACTTAGTTGACTTATGGCAGAGCACAGTGAACCATGATCCACGTTTCTTCAGGAACAATGCCCCACGACAGTCGATGAAAACCAAGCTCCTCCACATCCTCCGAGTCATTTTAAAGCTACAGTGGCTGGAGCTGAGGAGCAGCACCCACCTCCCAGAACACAACAGCGACCCAGGCTGCCCTTCAGCACCCACCATGGGCCACAACAGCCCCTGCCTGCTTCCCTGGTGAAGG